TTTCTGAACAGTAAAATGACTAAAATATGACTAATTAACGGAGGGAAATAATAATTGAAAAAAAATATAAATTTTTTTAAATTTTTGAAAAACTTTATAACTATTATGTTGAACTTTAGAAAAATTTTATATTTGGTGCAAAAATTTATAAAAATAAACACAGAAAGTGAGTTTTTGTGAATGACATTTTTACAAAAATAAGCCACTTTTTCATATTTTAGACATTAAATGTGAGGGTAGAGTGCGTTGTTTTTCCTTTTTTTATCAAATTTGAAAAATTAAGGGTGTACATTTTTGTGAAGAATTTTATAAAAAATCAAGATTGTAAATCTAATTTTTACATAATTACTTCATTTACGTAAGACAAAACTTTAAGTCATTGGCCTTAAAAATTTTTGCGTAGGCGTTGGCCTTAAAAGTCTTATTCTTGTCCTTGTCCTTGTAACTTTTGGTCTTGGCCTTGGCCTTGTAACAAGTGGCCTTGGTCTTGGCCTTGCTACTTTTGGCCCTATTAACAACTCTGGCATCCCAATTTTTTATTATATATAACAATTAATATAATGTACATTTATATATGCACATATACTTAAACAAGAATTATAATAAAATAAGTAAGTTATAATAAAAATAATTATTAAAAATAAAATATTAAAAATTAAAAAAAATTAAGATTATAGACGGGGGAACGCTTAGTTTTGACAGTCAATGTAGCTGTAGTATGTGCCCTCTTTTCCTGCTTTTATTATGCTTTAAATATAAGGGTAGTTTATTTTTGTGAATAATTTTACAAGGAACACGAATCCATAAAAAAAAATTAAAACTGTCTTGCTTGGAAGATCTGCTTTATTATAGAAAAAAAGGACAAAATTATGTCAAAATACAAAATTATTATAATATTAGAGAACTTATAAAATTATAAATTATTTATTTGCATTTTAAATTATTTCAATATTTCGCAAAATCTTTTTTAAATTTACATATAATTGACAAACAATAGTATAAATAAATAAACAAATAATATAAATTTTATTTAAAATTTGTTATTCCAGCTAAGTTATACTTAGAATTGTTTTTTCTTATGAAACTCCTGCTGACTTCTTGCGCTCTTATATATCCTTCTCTCTTTTCATGCGAATATGTTTTTGAACAAGCCTCTGTAACCTATGTAAATATTAAAAATAATTTAGTTATTGAACACTTTTAAACAAATTATTGTATTCTTATAATTAGATAAAAAAGAAACCTGCTTAACACAATGTTCGATATGGCCAATCTGGAACAACCATAGGCTGGTAAAAATATTTTCTGATTTCTTGGGTTGTGAGGCTTGTGGTAAGAAGTGGTTCGTATAATGAATCTTTCCACTCAATTAGATTGTTCAATTTATCAGCATCTCTATTTATGCATGGGGTTTTGCAAATTCTTACTGAATTATCTCCAAACTGGGTGTTGTCATCTCATTCCCCTCTAATTTCTAGCATCTTTTGCACTCTGAACTTTCATTCCTCTTCATTTTTGAAATACAAAAGAGTCTGAATAATGCACTCACTAAATGCAAACCATGCAGATCTTTTTACAGTTTTTATTACTTTTGCAAAAACCTCTTTTTTTGACATTTTAACTGTTTCAATTGAAATAAAACATGCCTAGGTCAATCTATCCAGGAATGTTTTACCTTAATTTGAAACCAAGGGAAATACACACCAACTATAAATTCAATAATTAAGCCTAGGTTTCTAAGGTTCTTTTCTGTTAAAAAATGAATTGAAACCCACAATCTACTGAAACAGTTGGCTGTAGTAAGCCATCTTGAATGAGAAACATGACCGATTTTGAGGTTTATTAAATTTTCAGGTAAAACTTCAGATCTTACTGCTGTTACAATTGTGTATCCGTAAGCTTGATCAGCCAAAAGATCCTTAACTATTTTGACTGGCAAAACAATAAGTGGTTCACCTAAAGTTACCATTTCAAAGTTCTTGTTTATTTCCAGATCTGTAACTGTATCCAGTAGTTTTCATAAATCACCAGACCATTTGTTGTTTGAAAGTATTTTTCTGTCTAATTCAACTATTAGATGTCTGAGGGGTAGTTTATTTGTATGAAGAGCACATTTTAGCCAGTTCAACTTTTTGTCAAGTTTTAATTCTAAAAATTTTATGACACCTCCTTTCCATCCAGTATTAACATTTGTTGGATCACCGCCCAATGCATGAATCGATTTGTCAGCACCATATTGAATCATCCATTTGACTAAATGATCGGCATTTTAACTATTTCGGCATGCTTTTTTTCTTTGGTTGATTTTTGTGGAGTAAAATTAAACAGAAATCTGCCGCACTGTTCCATGCATGTAGTATAATGTTCCTCTTTAATAGATCCAGGAAAAAACTGACTGGATCATTCTATTTCTACCTTTACTTTTGTAACGTCTTTTCTACTATCAAACAGAATACAATTAATGTTCCCATTGTTTATATATTTTGAAGTTTCATTTTTCAACTCAATCATTACATTATCTTGAGCTCTTACAATTTTTTCATGGTCAACAATGAACTGTCTATCTTTCTCAGTAATCATTCCAGCATCAATCCATGCAGCTGTAGTCAAAGCCTCAGCAGCTCTAAAAGAATTTCTGTATCTAAAAATATAATTTGTTTTATATATCTATTTATATAAATATTTTTTGTTTTTTATATCTATTTAAATGAAGAGAGTTTTTTTTTCAATTGAAAATAAAAAATATATATTTTACCTTAGACTGTGTACTGCAACATTTTGTACACTTTTTGTATTATATTTAGACTTTTTTACTTTCAAACTTGAAGTACTAGGTTCTGTGTTGAATTCTTTATAAGTTCATCTTCATTCATTGAAAAATCATTGTTCAACATTTTATTTGTTGTTATGCTGTCTACCCTTTTTCTCTTAGAAGCTTTTTTATTAGAATGGTAATATAATGTTTTAACTTGTCTATTGTGTTCAGACATATCTTTGAAAGATATTTGAAGCAAACCTTTAGCACCAACATTATCTCTTTTGGTTTTAATATAAAAAATTTCTATTATAGGAATTTTATATTCTTTAGAGCAGTTGCATGTAATGTGGGCTTGTTGTTTACAAATAACTTTGCAACCAAATTCTTTACAGTCAGAAATTATATACTTACAATTTAAAATATCAAAAGGTTTATCCAATTTCAATGTAAACTCTTTTTTTATTTTCTTTTTTTTCTCTGTTCACTGATATTAAAAAGGCAACATCCCAAGCTTTTATAATTTTGTACACAATATTCTTTTCAGAATAAATTATAGGAGCTTTAAAATTAGCGTTTGCTCTTTGCCACTGGGTAATAACGGCACATGCAACCTTTTTTGCCATGTATTTTATTAAAAAGGTTCTGGAGTTATTATCACACTGTTCTCTTAATAAAACTGCATATCAAAGTGTGTCTCTGTTGGAAGTTCAGAGAGTAACAACTCCTTTCCAGTACCTTTACAGTAACAATCAAATTTTGTTCAGTTTATATATAATCAAATTTTCTTTATAATATATAATGTTATTTAATCACTTTTATACTCAAAATTTAAATTTATTTATTACATAGTAGTTATTTAATACATAGTAGTCACTTATTCATCAGAAGTTGTTAATAATGATTAGATAAAAAAATTATATTACTTAAGTAATATAATTTCAATAAACAAATTTAACGTCCTTCAAATGAAATATTCTTTACAAAGGACACTTATTTCCTATGCACCTATTTTATCTTGAAAACAAACACAATTGTTTACAATTATATCTTGCTAATTATTTTTATGGATTCATATTCCTTGTAAAATTTTTCAAAAAAATAAACTACCCTTAATTTTTAAAATCTAATAAAAATAGGAAAAGATGACACACACTACAGCTACATTGATTGCCTAAAATATAAAAAATGATATTAACTTTTATAAAAACAACGTTCACAAAAACCCACTTTATGTGGTTATTCTTACAACTTTTTAACCAAATATTCAAATATGAAATTTTCATAAAGTTCAACATTGTTTATATTGAGTTTATCAAAAAAATTACAACTTTTATTTTTTTTATATATATAGTTTCTCTTTAATTAGTCACATTTTAATCAATTTACCGTTCAAAACTAAGCGTTCCCCCGTCTACATTCTTAATTTTTTTTACAATCTTGATTTTTTATAAAATTCTTCACAAAAATGTACACCCTTGATTTTTCAAATTTGATAAAAAAAGGAAAAACAACGCACTCTACCCTCACATTTAATGTCTAAAATATAAAAAAGTGGCTTATTTTTGTAAAAATGCCCTTCACAAAAACTCACTTTCTGTGTTTATTTTTATGAAATTTTACACCAAATATAAAATTTTTCTAAAGTTCAACATAATAGTTATTAAGTTTTTCAAAAATTAAAAATAAAAAAATATTTTTTTAATTATTATTTCCCTCTGTTAATTAGACATATTTTAGTCATTTTTCTGTTCAGAAAAGTGCTGACCCACCCAGCAAAACATTATTTTTTTTTTTTTTTTGCGGATTCGGAATCCTTGTAAAAATCTTCACCAAAAGTACCTTGCCTTGCCGTTTTTCAAATTGTTGAAAAAAAAAAAAAAAAAAAACGACACCCTAGTGCTATATGCTATGTAATTAGCCAATACTAGAATAGAACGATACAGCATAATTAGTTAATCATAAATAAATATACTTAGTTAGGCATAAATAAATTACTATCAATATTACATCAAAGCAAATGCAATTTTTAATTAGCAAAATATATTGAAATATGAAAGTGGGTTAAACCTTTGTACATTGTGTTTTTAATAATAACTTGTTTATAAAAAATAACTATACTTATGATATGTCATATAGTAACTTATTTAAAGTTTATTTAATTAAGCTAAAAATTTATCAGAAATAATAAAAACTATACGTTTTAATAAAAAAACTAAAAATCAAGTTTCAAAATTCAACATACTTTTAAATTATTTTTAGGCAAAAACAATCCAAAACCAGAGAATGCTTCTTGAAGCCAAAGTTTTTGTAGGGGAATAGTATCTTCTCTTTTACTTGCTTCAGATAAAGTTATACAAACAGCAAATAAATCATAATCATCAAAACAAAATATATTATTAGAAACCATTTCTTTTGGAATCTAAAATGTTTATGAAAAAACAATTATAATAATTATTATATCATATATATATATATATATATATATATATATATATATATATATATATATATATATATATATATATATATATATATATATATATATATATATATATATATATATATATATATATATATATATAAACCCTTGGAATTATATATATATATATATATATATATATATTATATATATATATATATATATATATATATATATATATATATATATATATATATATATATATATATATATATATATAAACCCTTGGAATTAGGGTCGCATTTGGCATTGCCAACCTTAAAGTGTATGAGGTCAGGAAAAAATTCTTGACCTCATTTCTATGTTTCATGGTAGGACCTTTATATTAAATTTTGTTTGCGGACCAGATACCGACCTCTAAAAGATTGAGGTCTGCAAATAATTGCAACTTTAATTTTCCTAATTCTGAGGGTTGGTACAGTTTTCCAAACAGAAATAAAAAAAAAAAACTAGAGTTTTTAATAATTTTGTTGTTGCAAAAATTCTATTTATTTAAATAATTCATTAAAATATTTTAAATTTATACTTTTATGCATAAAACGTTGATTAATATCAATATTTTGATCTTTTGATTTTCCCAAATATATATATATATATATATATATATATATATATATATATATATATATATATATATATATATATTTAGATATGGGTGTATATACATGGGTATTGGGTATATATATATATATATATATATATATATATATATATACATGGGTTTTGCTTGTGTCTCTGTTTATATATATATATATATATATATATATATATATATATATATATATATATATATATATATATATATATATATATATATATATATATATATATATATATATATATATTTATGTCATTCTATTATCTCCTAATGAGAGTACAGCTCTAAAATTCAATTTTATGGTTATGAGGCTGGCAGGAAGTCAGGTTTCCTGAACTCTGTGGTAGCTCCCAGAAAGGCTCATTCCATCAACAGCTGAAAAATATCAAAGTATTAACAGTGCCATGTTGTGCATGGATAGTGTTCAAGTTTGTACTTTGGTGTGCAGTGTGCAAGTTCTTTAACAAACATAAAAATGAATAAAGTACCAAAAACTATAAAACACAAAAAATCATCATCACCAAGTTCTCTAAACCTATCATTTACTAATATTCGTGGTCTTCAAAGTAACTATTCTTCTGTTGAGTCTCATCTCTTGCAAATTTCATTAGACATACTTGCTTTATGTAAGAATAATTTGAGTTCAGCTGTCTCATCTTGCAATCTAAGTGTTAATGGTTATCTTCCTTTTATTCATAAAGATAGTCACATGCTAGACCTGGGTGCTAGATCCAATAGTCACATGCTAGTCCTAAGCATTTACATTTCAAAAATTTACTCATTTGTCGGGAAACTAGGTTTGAATCCACAGACTAATCTTTTATACGCTTTTGTTTAGCACCAATTCAATCTATCGCCTTTCTCTTTGTTCTATATCGTTCTCCTTTATCTCAAGATTGCACTCTTTTTGATGTTACTTCTGATCATATTGATCAAGCCCTCTCTTAGGTCAATATGATCAGAAACAATATCAAAAAGAGACAACAATAATATTGGCTTATTTATCCTTCAGCCAATACTATTGTTGTCAGTGACTTTATTGCTCATCACACTGAATGGCTTGGTTCAAGTGTCAGTGATTCTGCAGGCTATAAAGCAAACAACTTTTGCCTTTTTCAATCCCTAACTCAAATAGTCAATTTTTCAACTTGTTTTCAAGACAATCCGAATCATTTACCTTCTTATGCCTTGTTTCTGATCCTAGTCAGTGCTCAGTTTCTCCACATTCAGCCTTAGGTGCTTCAAAGTTTGATCTCTCTAAAACTTTTATTGCATTCTTCTTCATCATCTGAATCCCCATATAATCGTACCTCCTTTAACTACGTTAAAACTGATTGGGACTCTTACTATGATTTTTATTGTGATGGCCATTGGGTAAAAATCTTTCCTTTAGACAAATGTGTTTCTTACATAACTTCGTGGATTCAGGCTGGCATAGAATCTTTTATACACTCTCAATGATTACAGGTCAAGCACCACTGTTTTTCCATGGTTTTCCTCACATTGTGCTGCTGCAATTACCAATCTAAACCGTTACTTCCATATCTTTCAGCAAAACAATTCTCCAGAAAACAGTTGTCTGTTTATTACTGCTAGAAACCATTGTAATAAGGTTTTGTCTAATGCCAAAGCCCGCTATTCTCAGGTCATGAAATCTTGTATTTCATCACAAAAAAATAGGCTCTAGTGAATTCTGGAGAATCTTTAAAATTATCAATAATAATGGGAAATCTGTTATTCCACCTTACTTGTATGGTTCAGACTTTGTCACCTCACCTACAGACAAAGCTGAATTGTTTGCTAAGAACTTTTCATCAATCTTATCTCTTGATTCCACTATTTGGGTTCTACCTGGTATAGCCCTTAAACAAGTTGATCAATTGCATGACAATCACATCACTCCAGCTTCTATATCCAAAGTGATTTCCTGCTTAGACTCATCAACAGTTTGTGGTGCAGACAATATACCTGTTGTAGTCTTGCAGAAGTGTTCTGCGGAGCTGTCGTTTATACTTTCAAAACTACTCAACAAGTGTTTAGTTTAGTCAGTGTCTTAGTTAGTGTTTAGTCAGAGTCTTGTTTTCCAGCCTCATCCTTTTTCTGTAACTGTTCCTAAGTGCTCCAAAACCTCTTATTCCTCTAGCTTTTTTCCTCAGACACCAGTTCTTTGGAATTCGTTTCCTTCATCTTGCATTCCTGATTCATATAACTTGCAATCCTTTAAGCCGCCTGTCAATTGTTATCTTATTCTAAAATCTTCATTTTTTCTTTTGCAGTAACTTTCAATTATAATTAGTGATTGTTAAACATATTAATACTTTCACGATGTTCAAAAAAAATGTCACGCCCCAAATTTAAAAAGGTTTTAAAAAAATTAATGACCAAAATCATTTCTATTTGCAAACGTGTTCATTCATATGATTCTATAAAAAAACATAATTTATTCTAACAATTAATACATGGCATAGTGTTATATTCAATGCAGGAAAAAACATTTTATACAATTTAAATACATACAGTTATTGTTTATTAGACAAAATGAAACGAAGTGGAAGATTGTCTTTATTTCTGCACAATCTATAAAGCTCCTCCATTACTTTAATTGCTTTTTCAGCACATTGATTACTTCTGGGAATGTTGATTGCTGATGGTTCTGGATTCCAATGACTTGTAAATGTAGCAAAAGGTTTCTTTTTGTTTAATAAAACTTCATGAAGGTCTGAATAAGCGTTTTCTTTATAGGTTTGGTCGTCAAACCAAAAGTCTGCCCACTTGTAAGAAATAAAGGTACATACAGATTCAAGTTTGTTTCTTGTTTTTGGCATAAGAATGTAGGCTAACAACGCTAAAATAGCTCTTGAACTCCACCGAGCATTACTGATATTAGGGATTTTTTGAAATCTTACATTAGGAAATATTTTATTTTGGTCATAGTATCGGTAGGTTCTCGTCAGATGAAACAGAAACTTCATGTCATCTCGCCATCCTCCTGTGTCTTTTATTTCTTCTGTACCGTTATAAAAATTTGTCTTCAGTGTTTCATAATGTTCTAACAACTCGTTAGTAAAAAAGTAATTAATGTTTGGTGAGTTCGGATTTTCTTCCAATTTTTCTTCCATTTCTAGTCTAAGTATTCTATCCAAGATATGATGTTGACATGGTACAAATTGAGGTTTTTGTAATCCTTTTTTTTGAAAAATGTCCTGAAGTTTTACAACAACACCATTTTTCTTTCCGGTATTGACATTTGTAGTATCTGTCACAATCATTTTAATTGAATTCCATAGTTTAAATTCATCTATAATATCAGCTATGGCATTAATAATAGTGATAGATTTTCCATCTATTAACTTCAGTGCGCCCAACTTTATTTCGCTTCTTTCATTTTTAAGAGCGACAACCTGATACTTCCATTGGTCTATATGCTTTCCATCGAAGTGTAGACTCCAATTCTCATTAAAAAGAGCCTTGTATATTCCAGACTGTGATGGCGCTGGAACATGTATGCCTTCTGAGGACAGTATTTTACCTATTTTAGAAGCTTTCTTAGTTGATACCTTAGCACAAACCACTAACTTTGTTGCTATTTTACAACTACTATATTTTTTACGTCTTTTCTTCAAATTATTATATTCTTCATCTGTAACTTCATTATCTATCTCAAATTGTTCATCAGTTTCTTCAAATTCGGAACTAGAGTTGTCTCTTTCTATTTTACTACTTTCAGTAAATGAACTTTTAGATGCTGAAGGTTGGCTGGAAAGTTTTTGCACAATTGATGGATGAATAGTCTTTTTTCCTGCCAGCTTTGAAGTAGCATTTTGTAACTGAATTTCATAAAATCTTTTATCTTCAGATGATAACCAAATGCCATTTTGATTTGTTATATCAAAAATCTCTTTTTGCAGAAGGTCGGCATTCCCTTTTTTTCTGAGACTTTCATATTTTTCTATAACATCATTAATCTTTCGCTTCACTGACTGCTCTGTCAGACATGGGAAATTTAATTGTTCTTTCCACAAACTTATAACTTCTACTGAAATAAGATCTATCCTTTGCTTTTTGGCTTTCACATCAGTACTAGACAAATACTTAAACCTGCTAACAATATCACTTTTTAATGGCATTTTGGAATATTCTTGAAAAGATGTTTCTAACATTGGAAACTGTCTACTTTTATGCGAATCTTGAAATTTCACAAGATTTTTTTTATAAGTCTCTTTATTTTTTTTAACACTTGATTGGCAGTATTTGTATGCCATTTTAATTAAAAGCAGCACAAAAAAATCTGAAACTAATTAATAAACAATTAGGCACGACAGTGAAAAACTAGAAATTATAAAGTGGTAATGCATACGTCTGGTATGTATTTAAAATTATATATATAATATATATTAACCGTCTATATATATTTTATTATATATAATATAATAATATAATATAATAAAATATATATAGAAGGTTATGACTTCTTTAACTTATGTTTTCTGGCCCATATGTAATATGTATAGTATATTATATTCCTATCTATATTGTATTAAAAAACATTTCAGCCGAGGCGCGTGACATTTTTTTACACTTGAAGGAAAATAAACATTTCTTCATTGTTTTATAGCAAAAACTCATCCAAAAATAATATGGGGTTGTCCAAATTGTATAAAAAGTTAAAAAAGTCATATCCCTAACATATATATATATATATATATATATATATATATATATATATATATATATATATATATATATATATATATATATATATATATATATATATATATATATATATATATATATATATATACATATATAAATAATAAAAATAAGTAATATAAATTATTCTATAATTTTTTTTTTCAAGTTTTGCAAAAATTAAAAATACATAAACTCTAACCTTTCTAGAAAAGGGCTCATTTATACTTTTTTGCTTAATTTTTGAACCAGAATCAGACTCTAAACCATTATCATCATTATATCGCATAGGAAGTAAATGTTCAGTGCTTAACTCACCAAATAAATGAAGTGCTTTACAGATTATCATGCATACAGACTTCTTTGCCAAGTCCTTGGAAGACATCTGGTCACCCTTACATATTTTAAAAATAGTCTATATATATATATATGTATATATATATATATATATATATATATATATATATATATATATATATATATATATATATATATATATATATATATATAAATAATCTTTGAATGTCATTTTCTTGATATACGTTAAAATATGATTAGAATTCAACAAATACGGCTACGTATAAACTTTTTAAAAAAATATATATATATATATATTTAAAAAAAATTTATACGCAGCCGTATTTATTGAATTCTAACCATATAAATATATATATATATATATATATATATATATTTATATAAATTTTCTGTAAGTCAAATATAAAAATTAAATTGTAAGAAAGTTTAATTATACTTATGAATATTTAATGCATATATATATATATATATATATATATATATATATATATATGTATATATATATATATATATATATATATATATATATATATATATATATATATATATATATGTATATATATATATATATATATATATATATATATATATATATATATATATATATATATATATATATATATATATATATATATATATATATATATATATATATATATATATGTATACAGTGTTGGATCAATTCACTTTTAAAATGAATTCAAATCAAATTCAAACTCACTTAGAATGAAACGAATTGAATTCAAATTCAAATTCGTTGAAAATAGAATGAATTCAATTCAAATTCAAATTCATTAACACTAATTTCCATTCAATTCAAATTCAAAATTTTTTTATTAATTTATTACATTAACATTTATTTGTGACATGACAGTCAGGAAAATATTCACTTAGAATGAAACGAATTGAATTCAAATTCAAATTCATTGAAAATAGAATGAATTCAATTCAAATTCATTAACACTAATTTCCATTCAATTCAAATTCAAAATTTTTTTATTAATTTATTACATTAACATTTATTTGTGACATGACAGTCAGGAAAATATTCACTTAGAATGAAACGAATTGAATTCAAATTCAAATTCGTTGAAAATAGAATGAATTCAATTCAAATTCAAATTCATTGACACTAATTTCCATTCAATTCAAATTCAAAAATTTTTTAATAATTTATTACATTAACATTTATTTGTGACATGACAGTCAGGAAAATATTCACTTAGAATGAAACGAATTGAATTCAAATTCAAATTCATTGAAAATAGAATGAATTCAATTCAAATTCATTAACACTAATTTCCATTCAATTCAAATTCAAAATTTTTTTATTAATTTATTACATTAACATTTATTTGTGACATGACAGTCAGGAAAATATTCACTTAGAATGAAACGAATTGAATTCAAATTCAAATTCGTTGAAAATAGAATGAATTCAATTCAAATTCAAATTCATTAACACTAATTTCCATTCAATTCAAATTCAAAAATTTTTTATTAATTTATTACATTAACATTTATTTGTGACATGACAGTCAGGAAAATATTCACTTAGAATGAAACGAATTGAATTCAAATTCAAATTCGTTGAAAATAGAATGAATTCAATTCAAATTCAAATTCATTAACACTAATTTCCATTCAATTCAAATTCAAAAATTTTTTATTAATTTATTACATTAACATTTATTTGTGACATGACAGTCAGGAAAATATTCACTTAGAATGAAACGAATTGAATTCAAATTCAAATTCATTGAAAATAGAATGAATTCAATTCAAATTCATTGACACTAATTTCCATTCAATTCAAATTCAAAAATTTTTTATTAATTTATTACATTAACATTTATTTGTGACATGACAGTCAGGAAAATATTCACTTATAATGAAACGAATTGAATTCAAATTCAAATTCATTGAAAATAGAATGAATTCAATTCAAATTCATTGACACTAATTTCCATTCAATTCAAATTCAAAAATTTTTTATTAATTTATTACATTAACATTTATTTGTGACATGACAGTCAGGAAAATAGAACATAGTCCTGTCAACTTAATAATGCATTGTTCTTACTTTTTAGTTCGTACTAGTATTAATATCCATTCGATTTTAACAACAACAGTTTCTCAAATGTAAGGTCATTTAGTCTATTACGCTGACTACTTGTGATGAGTCCCGTACAACTGAACAGGCGCTCAACAGATGAAGGCAACAATGTATTATATCTCACAAACACGGCCTGTACAGCTGGATACATCTGGAGGGATGATAGCGTCACAGTGACGTCGGACAGATAAGTCATTGCTTGGAGCCTCAGGCTGTTTGCGGTGTCAGAGTCTGCAGATAAAGAAAGCATTAGGTTATCTTCATTGTAGCCATAGTCGTTATCATCTGAAGGTTCAGTTAGTGACTTGTTTGCCTATTTGACTTTGTAAACAACGGTTACGTGACAGAACACAAAACAAGTGGAGCAGATTTTATTTATCTTATTTTTTCTTGGTACTATGTCTGATTTTAATTTTAAAATGAATGAATTTGAATTTCAATTAATTTTATTTACAAATTCATATGGGAAATGAATTGAATTAAAATTCAAATTCATCAACAGAAAATTGAATTTAATTCAAATTCGCAATTCAAAGAAATGAATTGAATTCGTGAATTGAATTCACTCAAACACTGTATATATATATATATATATATATATATATATATATATATATATATATATATATATATATATATATATATATATATATATATATATATACACACACACATATATATATATATATATATATATATATATATATATATATATATATATATATATATATATATATATATATATATATATATATATATGTATGTATATATATATATATATATATATATGTATATATATATATTTATTTATAAATTTATATATATATATATATATATATATATATATATATATATGTATATATATATATATATATACATATATATATATACTTTCAATAGTTGTCTCTATACTCTAACTATAAATATGATATTATTTTTATCACTGAGACCTGCTTTAAAAATTTTTCGACTCCATCTCTTCCGGGTTATAATATTTTCAGAAAAGACCAATTTACTCATGGTGGTGGTATTGCAATTTATGTTAACTGCAGCTTCACTGCAAGTGAATTTGAAAATTCTCAAAGATTTGCTGTAAAACATTCAAAACAACTCTGGCTCAACCTCACTTTGAATCAGGAAACTCTTCTTATCGATTGTATCTATCGCCCACCAACTAGTGGTATAAAATCTTTTAATGAAATTGTCAACACTATTTCTTATGCCAAATTGTTTATTAAAAAAAAGAAGTTTGCAGACCTTATAATTACCGGTGATTTCAACTTCCCGAACATCAAATAGAAAAAAGGGTGGATATACACCACTGAATACAGTTTAGATACAAAATTTGCTTACATTCTCAACAGTCTATACCTACATCAACATGTCACTAAACCAACCTTTATTCAATCCAATGGGTCTTCAAAAAATATTCTTTACCTAACAATCAGCGAATCGGCCAATCGTACAAGTGAAATTGTTGTTGGTCCGCCATTAGGAAATAGTTCACAAGGTCACTGTACTCTATCCTGGCATTATCAATCAGCTACACCAACTTTATTTGTTTTACTAGTTCAAAATTTATTTATAATATAGGAAATTATATTCAATTTAACAAATACCTGTCCAAACAGAGGTGGGAAAATCTATTTAAAAATTTAGACGCCAATGAAAGCTACCAAAATTTCTGCAATATCTACAACAAAGGTTGCAAAAAATTTATTCCATTCATCCATTTAAAACAAAATAAACGACGACCAATCTGGGTAACAAAAGAACTTTTATTACTAATTAAATGAAAGAAAGAACTCTGGTTTCTCAACTGTAACAGCAAGTGTAAAAGCAAGTGGAAAATTATCTTGTTGGCTAATGATTACTAGTTGACTCAAAATCTTGTAAGAAAAGAGACTAGAACTGCAACTCGTTTATTTGAAGAAAACCTATCTAAAGACAAGAACAATCCAAAAAGACTCTTTGCCTACATTAATAGCAAACGTAATGTCAATAATCATATCAACACATTGCGTTCTCCATCCGTTGAACTCTGTAACGATAGATTTTTGATTGCCAATACATTGAACAAGGTATTCCAATCTGTCTTCACTATTGAGCCTCATAATCAAAATCTACCTCTATTTGCTAAACGCTCATCTACCTCTCTCTTAAACTTTTAATTTGATTCTGAATCTGTTCAAAAACACCTTGAGGCACTTGACAAATATAAATCTGCTGGAGAAGATCAAATAAGTCCTTAAAACATGTGCCCGCGCAATAGCAGCTCCGCTTGCCATGATTTTTCAATTGTCAATGAAACAAGCAATTAGACCAAATGCTTGGCTTGTAGCTAATGTAACTCCATTATTCAAAAACGGTTTTAAAACTGACCAATTTTCCATCACTTCTGTACCATGTAAGATAATGAAAAGACTGGTTAAAGATAAGGTCATGCATCACTTATTATCTAACGATCTTCTCTCCCAATGTCAACACGGATTTGTCAGCAAAAAATCATGCACTACAAATTTACTCAAAACTATGGACTTTTTGACTTACACTGCATCACAAAAGCTACCTGTTGATGCCTTATTTCTCGATTTTGCCAAAGCATTTGCCAAAGTTTCTCACAAAAGGTTACTAAAAAAGCTTGAATCTTATGGAATTAGTGGAAATGTTTTAAATTGGATTAATGCCTTTCTTTCTAACAGAACACAACGTGTCCACCTTGGTAATGTTGCATCCAATTGGAAACAGGTTACTAGTGGCGTTCCTCAGGGCTCAGTTCTTGGTCCAACACTATTTATAGTTTATATTAATAACTTACCAGAACACATTAGCAGCAAAAATAAATGCAAAATGTAGGCAGATGACACAAAAGTCCTCAGTGTAGTTAACACTTTAGAAAGCAAACTTGGTCTGCAAGCTGACATTGATAATATTGCCAATTGGACCCAATTATGGCTCAT